GTATATTTATATTATATGTAATATATAAATTATATTTTATATTTTATATAATATATATTTATTATATTATATATAATTTTTATATTATTATATTATACATAATATATCAATATCTTATATTATACTATATATAATATATAATATTTACTAATTATATTATATATAATATTTATCTTATTATATTATACATAATATTTTAATATCTTATATTATAGTATATATTATATATAATATATATTTGTTGTATTATATATAACATATAAATATATTATATTATATGTTGTACATAATAAAAAAAATATTAATAAAATATATAAAATACATTATATTATATATTATATTATGATACGTATATTATATATTTATATTTATTTAAACATTCCAAAACAAAACATTTAACTTTTGAAAAGATATCTTTCAGAAAAACAAACGCGTCTTAAGAGAGAATTAAAATTCAAGGAAACGTACACAATGAGACTATTTACATTTCATGCAAGGAAGTCACAATTATTTTAACCATTAAATTTGAAGTCGGGTAGTTTCTTGAATATTATGACACGTTTTCATCTATTGAATTTCACTCTTAATGGCTAAAAAACAATTATGACCTCCTTGTATAGAAAATAAATGGTTCCATATCTCAACTTATAAAAGAGAGAGTTGCAATATAGATAGGGGTGGCAATAGACCCAATCAGACCAAGAACCCGATGGGCGGACCTAACCTCAGATTTAGGTGTGGGTCTAATTTTTGGACCCGACAGGTCGGGCCTGGATAAAAAACCTGCACCGGAATAATATTCGGATCCCGGTTTGGGTTCAGCCGAACCCGATATGTACCCGTAAACTGCTGGAGATAAATTACTTTACTTTAAGTCCTATTCATTTGGGTGTATTAAGGATCGTATAGAATAAAAACTCGTAGTCATATTTATCAATTAAATAGAAATCAAACGGCTTGATATCTAATGAAAAGTGATTTTAACCTTGTTGCCAATGATATGGATATATAATAATTCTAAAAAATCATAATTATTTGGTAGCAATGAACCCATAGTCGGGAGAAGGACCCGTTGCCAACCCTCAGTATAGAGTTTGGCCGTAAAGGGTGAAGAGGTCCTCGTGCTAACGATGCGGTTGGTGGAGGGGGAAAAAAAGTGGTCAATTGTCACGTGTATGCTGCGACCTACATAACTTTCACGTGGCTGCGTCCTCAGCCGATGCTTTCAATTCTTTGCACGGCTCCAAAGAAATGGTCCAACGCAAGTGTATGCAAGAAATCTATATAAAAAAATAAATATTCTACATGCTTTGCACGGCTTTCATAAAAAATGGAAAGAAATGGTCCTACACAAGTGTATACAATAAATCTATATAAATAAATACATAAATAAGTAAATAAAATTTACAAAAAAGTTTATATAGAGCCTAGGCTCTAAACAATCAAATTAGAGCCTAGATCAAATTAGAGCCTAGAAGCTGTTTTAATACTCAAATAGCATCAAATTGATCATCTCGATATCAAGATCCCATGGACATGAGAAAAAAATGGATTTCAAGTTTTTGAAATAGTGCATCTTGTAACACATTTTGGACCGTCAATTTTCAAGATTTACAAGTTTTCATAGATATGCTCGATCTACACTATTTTTGAAGCTTTAAATTTTATAATTAAGAATGAAAATATATTTTAAGGTATCACAATGATTTCCAATATTGAAACCACATTTCTTGATACTATTTGAAGGTGGGTTTTATTTTGATTGTTTAGAGCTTCTGCTTTATATAAACCGTACCCATAAATTTATATGAGGTGTCAATTCTATACCCACTTTAAAAATTCCTAAATGAAGGTGTTCTTGTGTTCAAAGGTCATCCAATTTGATCATCTTAACTTCAAAATGTATGAACATGAAGAAGAAAGGAATTTATCATTCAAAAGAAAAAAAAATTAAGTCTTAAAAATAATACATCTCGTAACAAATTATCAAGATAGTTTATTTTCAAAATTTTCAAGTATTGATATATCTACTTGATTTTTACTATTTTTTGAATTTTAAATTTCCCAAGTAGGGATGAGATATATTTTCATGTCATTCTAATATAAAACTACATCTCTGGACACAATTTAGAAATGCGCCTTATTTCTACAGCATAAGTAGGATGCTTTATACAAACGTCGTCCATAACCAATAACAATAAATAAATAACTTTATATAAAAGTTTGTGGCTTTTTTTTTTTGAATAAAGGTAATAGCTATAAGGTTGCACTTCTACAGCATAAGTAGGATGCTTTATACAAACCTCATCCATAACCAATAACAATAAATAAATAACTTTATATAAAAGTTTGTGGCTTTTTTTTTTTTAATAAAGCTAATAGCTATAAGGTTGCAACTTTATATAGTAGAGGTACAATACACCTCAAAAATCCAGTATACAACAATGTTCTTCAGTTGGAAAACCTTCGAATTAATCATCTCAACTTTAAGATTTGTAGATAAGGAAAAAAAAAAAAAACAAAAGAATTTCAAGTTCTAGAAATAGTGTATCTTGTAATAAATTATTTAAACATTCTATTTTTAAGATTTTAAATGTTTATAGTTTGTTCGATCTTATACCATTTATAAAATCTGTTATTTAGATCAAACATAAATGTTCAAACTATCATAAAGTTCCTGACAACATAGCTATAGCCATGGTGAAATTTGATGGCACGCCTTACTTATATATTATAAGGTGCGCACCTTATACAAATCTCACCTAAAGAAAAGAGTTTATAAAAGGTTGCAATTTTATATTATAAAAGTGAGGTACCTTTCAAAAATCCCATAGAAACGATTGTTCCGTAGTTGGAAAATTTTTCAATTGATCATCTTGTCTAAATTATATAATTTTTTTTTTTCAAGTAATAAAAAAGTACATTTCATAATAAGTTATATGGTTTGTCTATTGTCAATATTTCCAAGTACTAATAGATCTACTCGATCTACGTTATTTTTGAATATATATTTTTAAATCGTAAATAAGATTTTCGACACCGAAACTACATCTTGAGGCAAAATATAAAGGTATGTCTTTTCACAAAATTTAGAGAGGTGATTAATTTTTTTAGGTAATTCAATGGGGAAGACATGTGTGTACCTATTTTTTTTTTTTCAAATAGATTATAAATTAGTTTTTTGAAAGAATTAATAGGTTGGTGGTAACCATGAAAATAGAAACCACAACATAATAACTAAAATAAAAGGTACTAACCCTATAACTCAAGCTCATTTTCTAAAAAATAACTCATAAAGGGATTTGGGCCCTATCCTTTGGTGAGAATAAAATCTACAGACTTCATCATCAACTCCGCAATACTAAGGCAGCGGCCCGGGCCATTCTCAATGGGCCTCAAGGTGTGGACATGTTATGCAAACCTCACCTCAAAAATCCGCTACTTGGAATTGAACCATCCGACGTGTAAAGCGGGTTAGTTTGATTTTTGCTTTTCCCTCTCGAACCGTGCTTTCTTGGAAACCAGGTAGGAATGGGTTTTGCTTTTCCCTATCGAACCGTGCTTTCTTGGAAACGAGGTAGAGAGGGAGGTAGGAAGCAAGTGTAGAGAGAGAAAATGGTTGAGATTGCAAGACAAAAGAAGAGAGAATGGGTTCAAGCACACCTTTTGGATAGTATCGAGAAATATTGTTTTAATATTAAAATTTTTTATGATTATTTTAAAATATATTTTTATTTTTAATAATAAAATTTAAAGTTTAAAAAATAATTTAGATTGAACCGATATATAAAAACTTAAAAATCTTCAAAATTGGTGGTCCAAATTTATGTTATAAAATGCATTATATCTATAATTTGAAATTCATTTTTTTTTCTCGAGTAAATGCATTTTGGGGTCCAGATGATTAATTTGAGAATATCGGAGCGTCAAAACAACATGTTCTAGTAAAAGTTTTTTGGTAGGCTCTAATTTGATTGTTTAGAGCCTCGGCTCTAAATAAAAAGGCTGAAAGATGGACAAGAGAGAATCTAAAGGGTTGTTGAGAGAGGGACAAAAACCACCAAATATCCATGTCACACGTGACATGAAAAACCCTGAAAAACCCATCATTATTTCTTGGGGTTTTCTTTTCTGAATTCAATTTCTGGTTGTTTTTTTTGGCGAAGCCCATGATCTGAGGTCCACGCAAGTTGGGAAATCCGAGCTTTTTCTTTGTATTTTCTCAGATTTTTAAGCCAACTTTTATGGACCGAATTTCGTTTTCCAACGCTCAAAACCAATCCCAATACGAAGCTCCGAAACGGCTCTCTGAATCACCATTTTTGTCCCTTTTCTCAAAAATCATTGGTTTTCCGTAAGGTACTTTTGTGGGTTTTTTTTTTTTCCTGGTCTCATAAATTTCTCTCCAAGGTCCGTTAGATGTTTTTGTGAGCTCTTTGGTGCTTAGTATCATTTTATATTCTGTAAAAGTGCTTAAATTTCATTCTCTCTAAAAATTTCAGAGGAGATTAAATATCATTTTTTTGAGTGATTTGGGTTCTCTCTCTCTAAAAATTTCATTTCCAAATTGGGTTCTCTCTCTCTAAAAATTTCATTTCTCAATTGGGTATTTTCTCTCTCTCTCTCTCTCTCTCTCTCTCTCAATTTTTATCTCCATTGACGTGGGCTTTCTCCTTTTACCCCACCATACCTTTCTTTAAACCTGGTTGTCTCTGTCTCTGCCTATATTTGATGCTTAGAACCCATTTTAGATTCTCTTCAAGGCTTAACATTGCTAACTTCTTATCTTGACACCTCTTCTCTCTATGGGGCATTAGGACATAGGGTTTTTCATTTCTGTGTATTGAAGCCTTCCGTGGGGAGGATAGGGTTTCACAGGGTTAGGGAAATGGAGGCTGGAATCCCAGCTCAAGGCCTTCTCTCTCTACCTTCAAAACCCAAAACCAGTGATACCCATCTCACCCACAGGCTTCATTTTCGCTCGAAAATCCAGAGCCCCAAGTTCTTGAACTCTTATGAGTCCATCAATTCCAGGTCCTTTCATGGTCTGAAAAAATACAGAAAAAGCTTCAAGCTTCTCAGTTATTTGAACTCCAAAAATGGTGATTTATACAAGGAAAAAAGTGGGCTTCTGGTTACCAATGCTCATGCAGACGCAACATATGTTTCAGTTCCGGATTATGGAGAAACGCCAAAATTTTTGGGTGTTGAGATTAGTACACTAAAGAAGATTATACCACTTGGGTTGATGTTCTTTTGCATCCTTTTTAACTATACTATTCTTAGAGATACAAAGGATGTGTTGGTTGTTACTGCAAAGGGTAGCAGTGCTGAGATTATTCCCTTTCTAAAGACTTGGGTTAACCTTCCTATGGCTATTGGTTTCATGGTTCTCTACACAAAGCTGTCAAATGTTTTGTCCAAAGAGGCCCTGTTTTACTCTTGCATATTACCTTTTATTGCATTCTTTGGAGCTTTTGCCTTTGTGCTTTATCCTCTCGGTGATATAATCCACCCAACTGCACTTGCTGATAAACTTCTTAAAGCTTTGGGACCGAGCTTTCTTGGACCAGTTGCCATCCTAAGGATTTGGAGTTACTGTCTCTTCTATGTCATGGCTGAACTTTGGGGAAGTGTGGTTGTCTCTGTTCTCTTTTGGGGATTTGCAAATCAGGTGAAAAATCTTGTCTTGGACCATGGTTAAATAATTCTTGGCACAGAATTCAGAGTTTTGCATTTTTGGATTGTTGGATATCTTATTGTTCTTGAGCTTTTCTAAGTGCTTGGGACTCATTTATTTGTTTGTGAGATTTTTTATTACCATACTATTATTCATTTCCCCCTATAAATTAATTGGGTATGTTTTGATTTGGAGCTAATTTTGCAATTGATGTTGTTCTTTGGAATCACTCCGGTGTCTCAATCTTTATGATGGCTGTTGTTGCCAACTTACTATTGTTGCTTTATTATTCTTAATTTACATGGGTATTATTTGACTGTGCTGATTTTAATGTTATTCTCTATTTTCTGAATTGCGTGACTGTTTTTTCTATTGTTTTTCTATTTCCTGAATTACTTGGGTATCATTCAATTGTGGGATGGTTGTATTTCCTTCTGTTCTCTCATACTTGTAGTTATTTGGATATCATAAAACTGTGAGAATGTTGCTTCTGCTATTGTCCTTTCATTGATCAATTTCACTTGAGTAGTGCGTTTTCTTTCTGCCAATATTTATATGTGAGTATCATCTTGCAATATTCTATTAAAATCTATGTAATATTTCACCTGATGAAACAGTCTTATGTTTCTAGATTCATATGGTGTACTGGGATGCGTAATTAGTTTCATAAATTGATTTTGTCGAGTTTATAGTAATTATCCCTGGTTTTTACCTCCTCATGATGATTATCCTTCTTTGTTTCTCACATGTTCTAATTTGTTTTTTTGTCATGTAATTACTTTCATTAATTTTCCTTTTAAGCCCCTTACATCCCCTTTTTTTTTTTTTTCTGGGGTAAATATTTCCCAATGTTTTAATCTCTATATCTCTCAATTTTTCGTAATGCTCATCATGATCCAATCATCTTTCCCATGAGTTCTCCATGAGGCATGTTTCATAATTACATATTGATTCCTGAAACAGGGACAGTTTTCAGACTACATGTACTCTTTGCATCTATGTATAGTAAGGAATTGCAGGCAGTTTTCAGACTTCATATACTCTTTGCATCTACGTATAGTAAGGGATTGCAGGTTTTATGTGGTTCTCCTTTATAGGGGAATATGAATTACAAATAAACTTTGCTCGAGAGATCTTATTTCACATGGATTTGTGATTGACATTCTTCTTACTGGAGGGATTTCTTGTTTTGATGGATAATGATATTAACAAGGGAAATGGGATACACGTTGTATTTGCATTGCTTCTATTCCAAAAGGTTGATTTTTGCTGTAGGGTTATAACAGAAGTTGTCGTTCATGAATTTATTTGGCAGTTTAGAAGTTTAGGCATTTTCTTCCCAAAAGAAATCGTAAACTTAGTGCTCAAAGTGAAAATTTTGACTAGAACTAACTATGTATTCATGTGTGTGTGTCTTATATATAGGAAAATGTTGTGATAAGGCTGCAGCCCTACTTCAATATATAGGGATGCAGCCTCGTGCACCATCCATTTATTTTGCGGTGCAGATGTCTTCACATTGTTCGGGATGAGAAACCGTGGTACAGGAAACTCGGTTACCTCTCTGCAACACTGAGCAGGAGATATTTTAAGTTTGACAAAATGATCAACAAATCCCTTTTTCTTCTTCTTTTTTCTTATAGTCACTCCGTACGCCCCTCTCTCTCTAAATCATAAATCCTCCATTCATTGACATAGCTAAATTCCCCTCTCTCTAAATCATAAATCCTGCATGCATTGACATAGCTAAATTCCCCTCTCTTACTTTCCTATTTTTGTGAAGGTTTCTGTTTTCTCGCTTCTATTCTTCTCTCTCATGATCCCCACAGTCCATACTGTTGCTTTCTCGACCTTTTTTTCCCCAATATTGATGTCTACTTATTCATCAAGAGGAGACTTATCTCAAACTCAATTGCCCCTTCTGGTAGAGATATTTGTTGCAGTAATTTCACTTACAAAATAAGAAACATCATTGTTTATTTATGGGTTTTGTAAAAGCAAGGTTTTCTCTCTCTTAACAAAGAATATCTTAAAAAACCTAGCTCTATTTTTTTGCAATCAATCTACCCCGGCCCCCTTTCTCCCCTCTCTCTACTCTTACCCGTTCTGGTGGGTTCTCAATAGTGATGAGAATAAAGTTGTAGGGGACTTTCAAGAAGATAATGAAGAAGATAGAGAGAGATGTTGCTTTGACTGTGTGTGGGGTTGGAAGGCTTTAGTTTTGTAAGTCTGTAGGTTGGGGGTGTAGAGTTGGATGAGAGAGAGAGAGAGAGAGAGAGAGAGAGAGAGAGAGGTA